ACAAGGGGGGACCAGCCTCATCCCACTGGGTGCTGAGGGCTCCTGGGGGGTGCCCAGCTGCACCCTTGGGTGCTCCCAAAAACAAGGGGGGGGGTCCTCAGGGAGGTGGGGGGACACGAGGCCACTGTCCCCAACCTGGGAAGGTCCCATCAAGAGGGGACATGTCGCTTTGGGCCACCACCCCCCAAACCCCCCCCCAGGCTGAGACCTGACCCAACTCAGGACGGAGCAGCAGGACCCCCGGCCGGGAGATCGGGGGCAAAGATGGTGAGTGTCACCACGTCCCGCGGTGGGGACGAAGGCCAGAGGGTCCCGGGGGTCCCGGCCCCGCGGTGGAGGCCACCACCGGCATGAACGTCACGGGGACGACGGCGGGGAACCGGAGCTGCGACGGGGAGGAAGAGGAGGAACCCATCCCCCTGCCCACCTTCTCCACGGGGGCCAAGGTGCGGGTGGCCGTCACCTGCCTCCTCTTCCTCTCCTCCGTCTGCTGCAACGGGGCCGTCCTCTGGTCGGTGGCCCGGGGGTCACGGCGGTGGCGGCGGCCTACTCGGGTAGGCCTCTTGATGGCCAACTTGGCGGCGGCCGACCTGCTGGTGACGCTGGTGGTGATGCCTTTGGACGCCGCCTGGAACGTGACGGTGCAGTGGTACGGAGGGGACGTCGCCTGCCGGGGGTTGATGTTCCTCAAGTTGGCCGCCATGTACGCCTCGGCCTTCGTCACCGTCGTCATCGCCTTGGACCGCCACGCCGCCATCGTCACCCCCTTGGCGTTAGGCCGGGCCGAGAGGAGGAACAAGGCCATGCTGTGGGGGGCCTGGGGGCTCAGCGCCCTGCTGGCCCTGCCCCAGGTGGGACGGGGTGGGATGATGATGATGATGATGGTGGTGGTGGTGGGGAGCTGCTGCAACGGGGCCGTCCTCTGGTCGGTGGCCCGGGGGTCACGGCGGTGGCGGCGGCCTACTCGGGTAGGCCTCTTGATGGCCAACTTGGCGGCGGCCGACCTGCTGGTGACGCTGGTGGTGATGCCTTTGGACGCCGCCTGGAACGTGACGGTGCAGTGGTATGGAGGGGACGTCGCCTGCCGGGGGTTGATGTTCCTCAAGTTGGCCGCCATGTACGCCTCGGCCTTCGTCACCGTCGTCATCGCCTTGGACCGCCACGCCGCCATCGTCACCCCCTTGGCGTTAGGCCGGGCCGAGAGGAGGAACAAGGCCATGCTGTGGGGGGCCTGGGGGCTCAGCGCCCTGCTGGCCCTGCCCCAGGTGGGACGGGGTGGGATGATGATGATGATGATGACTATGGTGGTGGTGGGGAGGGGAAGAAGGGTGTTGATGTCCTCCTCCACGTCCCCCTTGCAGGCCTTCGTGTTCCGCAGGGTGAGGCGGCGGCGGCCGCGGCGCTTCGTGCAATGCGCCACCGTGGGCAGCTTCGGGGCCCACTGGCAGGAGACCCTCTACAACATGTTCACCTTCGTCTGCCTCTTCCTCCTCCCCCTCCTCATCATGGTGCTCTGCTACGGACGCATCCTCCTCGCCATCTCCGGCAGGATGAAGAAGGACGCCCGCGGTGAGCGCCGCAAAGGCTCCTCCAACCCTCCTCTACCTCCCTGGGGTCCTGGTCCCACCACCTGGACCCACCTCCCTGGGCCCATCTCTTGGTCCCATCACCTGGACCATCTCTTGGTCCCACCTCCTGATCCCATCTCTTGGTCCCATCACCTGGACCACCTCTTGGTCCCATCACCTGGACCTATCTCTTGGTCCCATCACCTGGACCATCTCTTGGTCCTACCTCTTGGTCCCATCACCTGGTCCCATCTCTTGATCCCATCACCTGGACCCATCTCTTGGTCCCACCTCCTGGACTCATCTCCTGGTCCCATCTCTTGATCCCATCACCTGGACCATCTCTTGATCCCATCACTTGGACCCATCTCTTGGTCCCACCACCTGGACCCACCTCCTGGACCCATCTCTTGGTTCCACCTCCTGGACCCATCTCTTGGTCCCACCTCCTGGACCCATCTCCTGCTCCCACCACCTGGTCCCACCAGCTGGACCCATCTCCTGATCCCACCAGCTGGACCCATCTCCTGGTCCCACCTCTTGATCCCACCTCCTGGACCCATCTCCTGCTCCCACCTCCTGGACCCACCTCTTGATCCCACCACCTGGTCCCACCACCTGGTCCCATCTCTTGATCCCATCACCTGGACCCATCTCCTGATCCCACCTCCTGGACCCATCTCCTGATCCCACCTCTTGGACCCATCTCCTGATCCCACCTCTTGATCCCACCTCCTGGACCCATCTCTTGGTGCTATCTCCTGGTCCCACCTTCCATCACCTGGACCCATCTCCTGATCCCACCACCTGGACCCACCTCCTGGCCCCATCTCCTGGTGCTATCTCCTGGTCCCACCTCGTTAACCCAATGCACTAATTAACCCCCCAGGTGCCTCTTCCCGCCCCGCAGCCTCCCCCAAGGAGATCCAGCTCCGTCGTTCCTACAACAACATCCCCCGGGCCAGGATGCGCATGCTCAAGATGTCCATCGTCATCGTCCTGACCTTCATCGTCTGCTGGACGCCCTACTACCTCCTGGGCCTCTGGTACTGGTTCTCCCCGGAGATGTTGACCAGGGAGAAGGTGCCGCCGTCCCTCAGCCACATCCTCTTCCTCTTCGGCCTCTTCAACACCTGCTTGGACCCTTTGGTCTACGGGCTCTTCACCGTGCGGTTCCGGAGGGAGATGTGGGGGGTTTGTCACCGCCGGCGGCACCAGGAGGTGGCCACCACCTTCACCGGTTCCTTCCGTGTCTCCACGGTGGCCGTGCCGGCCCGGAAAAGCGGGAACAGCCCGGAAGGAGCCGGAAAACACCAACTGGAAGTGATGGCGGGGGCAGCTCCGCCGGGAAGGGGGTGCCAGAGGTGCCGGGGGGGGACGGCGGAGAGTTTCATGTGATGTGTCCCCAAAAATGGGACAGGACACGGAGGGGGGGGTGACACGAGGGGTCTGAGCCACCACGGAGCCGATCCAGAATAAATTCCCAGTATTTTCCCAGCAGGAAGCTGGTTTTTGGGCCCGGGGGGGGGTTCAAGAGGAGCCGGGACCGTGGGGGCAACAAATCCCTTCCGTGTCGGGAAGGAATTCGTGGCACCGACCACAAATATAGAGAATATAAACATAAAAATGTGGAAAAACAAAGGGAATGGAGAAATAAAGAATAGGGGAAAACGGAGGAAATATGGAAATAAAGAATACGGGAAAACAGAGGAAATAGGGAAATAAAGGATACGGAAAAACAAAGAAAATAGAGAAATAAAGAATGTGGAAAACCAAAGGAAATAGGGAAAGACAAAGAAAATGCAAAGGGAATGGAGAAATAAAGAATAGGGGAAAACGGAGGAAATATGGAAATAAAGAATACGGGAAAACAGAGGAAATAGGGAAATAAAGGATACGGAAAAACAAAGAAAATAGAGAAATAAAGAATGTGGAAAACCAAAGGAAATAGGGAAAACCAAAGGAAATAGGGAAAGACAATAGGGAAAGACAAAGGAAATAGGGAAAGACAATAGGGAAAGACAAAGGAAATAGGGAAAGACAATAGGGAAAGACAAAGGAAATAGGGAAAGACAATAGGGAAAGACAAAGGAAATAGGGAAAGACAAAGAAAAAAGGGAAAGACAAAGGAAAAAGGGAACGACAAAGGAAATAGAGGGACAAAAATACAGAAAAGCGGGGAAAGACAAAGAAAAAGGGGAAAGACAAAGAAAAAGGGGAAAGACAAAGAAAAAGGGGAAAGACAAAGAAAGTAGAGGGACAAAAATACAGAAAACGAAAGAAAACATAGAACTAAAGAATATGGAAAACCCAAGAAAATAGAGAAACTTAAATATAGAAAAGCAAAGAAAATACAGACACGAAAATATAGAAAAACAAAGGAAATGGAGAAAGAATAAAGAAAACCAAAGGAAAGAAATACAGAATAAAAAACCCCAAAGAAAATAGAGAAACAAATATATAAAACCCGAAGAAAATATAGAAAGAAAGAATAACAAAGAAAATACAGAAATAAAAATATAGAAAAACCAAAGAAAATAGGGACACAAAACCCAAACAAAGGGCGCCGCGTCGGGCAGAAATTCCTTTAAAAGCTGCATCAGGGGGGTATTTTGGGGTAAAAAGCCCTGAATTTCAATCAGCGCCAGGGCCATGGGGAGAATTCAAGGCTCCCGGAGCCGAGGGGCAGAGAAAAGTTGTTGATCTGCCAGAAAACAGAAAACCATCACTTCCCAACACTATTTTAAGGGAAAAAATGGCTTTTTCCAACTATTCAGTTGTTCCCCCCCCCGCCAGCCCCGCGACCGGTGACGGTGACACTGAGTGATTTTGGGTGAATCTAAAAATAAGAGGCAGGAAAGGAGCTTCTCAGCTCAGAATTCCGGCTTCTCAGAATGTTTTAATTAAGGACAAATAACAAAACTAACGAAAGGAGGATTTTTACACCAAAACCCAGTTCTTTAAAAGGCGGAATTGAGGCGCAAACGTAATAAATCCCTTGGGAGATGGGGGAGCGCTCGTCCCAGGGGGTGGTAGAAAACCAATTTTTCTCCCAAAAAAACCCCAAAGAGAGGCCAAAACACCCCCCTCACTCCAGGGGTAACAAAATGCTTAAAAAAAGGGGGGGTTTTGGGGCGTCCCCAGGCTCAGGGGGCTGCACCCCCCCCTCCAAACCTCAGGCGTCGCTTCTTCCCTCCCCCGTTTTTGCTTGAAAACAGTAAAATTTTGGGAGGGATCGAATCGGCCGAAGCGATGAACTGTTCCTCAAACGCCCCAAAATACAAACCCCCCCCACCCCCCCCCATCACCGGCCCCTTTTTCCCCTCCCAGTTCTCCCAGTTTGGACGTGGAACGCACGGGTAGGGATGAGGGTCCATCATCGGCGTCGCCTGTCGGGGCTCCTGCTCCGCCGGGGCCCGCCCCTGGAAAAGAGAGATTTGAGGTGTTTATTGGAATTTGGTGGTTTCACCCTCATTAATTGAGTGGTTTTCCATCATGATGTCATCAGTGGAGAAGTGACGTCACGGGTGGAGAAGTGATGTCACCTCCCTGGACTTCTCTAGGGCCCTTTTTATGGGTGGGATGGATGGAGAAGAAGTTGGCTGGATGGACACGTCCAAGTGGAAACCAGTGACCACTGGTGTCCCTCAAGGGTCCATACTGGGACCATAACACCTTCATTGATGGGGTGGATAAGGGGAACAAGGGCAACCTCAGCAGGGTTCCAGGTGACACGTGGAGCAGTGACACTCCTAAGGGACAGGGTGGCACCCAAAGGGACCTGGAGAGGTGGCCCCGTGTGATCAACCCATGGAGACCCCACCACCACCCAGTGCTGCCTCCAGCTCTGGGGCCACCACCATCAGAAGGACATGGAGATGTTGGATGGGTTCAGAGGAGGCCCCGGAGATGCTGGGAGGGCTGGAGCCCCTCTGCTGGGAGGGGGGGCTGAGAGAGTTGGGGGGGTTCAGCCTGGAGAAGAGAAGGCTCCAGGGAGACCTTGGAGCCCCTTCCAGTCCCTCAAGGGGCTCCAGGAAAGCTGGGGGGGACTCTTGATTGGGGAGGGGAGCCATGGGACAAGGGGGAAGGGTTTTGAGCTGAAAAATGGGAGATTGAGGTGAAATATTGGGAAGAACTTCTTCATTTTGAGGGTGGTGAGAGCTTGGCCCAGGTTGCCCCAAGAAGCTGTGGCTGCTCCATCCCTGGAGGGGTTGAAGGGCAGGTTGGAGGGGGCTTGGAGCAACCTGGGCTGGTGGGAGGTGGCCCTGTCGTGGTCTAGATGGTCTTCAAAGGTCCCTCCCAACCCAAATCCTGTTCTTCACCCCAGGTTCTGGAGTTTTCTTGGCCAGGAGAGCACCCACAGCTCAGTTCTTACCTTCTCTTCCCCTTGGGGGGCCCTCTCACGAAGCACCAATCCACGCTGATGGGCTGCCCCATCAGCTCCTGCCCGTTCAGCCCCTCCATGGCCGCCTGCGCTTCTTTGTAGGTTTCATACTCAACCAGAGTATATCCCTGAGGAGGAAGAGGAGGGAGCATCACCCATGGTCGATCCTGGTGGGGGGAGACCCCAGGAGGGGCCAGAGACGGGACAAATCCCTCCCCGAGCCCTGTTTGACCCCGGTCTCCACGGAGAATGGGATGCACAAGAGTGTTTTGAACCAACTGGTGCCCACAGGGGGAAACCACCAACCCAGAAGAACCTGGTGTCCCCCCACCATATCCCCAAATGTCCCCAAGTGTCCCCAGTCCCCCCTTTGGAGACATTGGGGACATCCCCGTTGTCCCCAAAGCCCTTTGGGTTGAGGTGGCCCTTGGTCTTCAGATGGTTCCACCTCAAAGGTGTTCTTCTGGGTTGGTGGTTTCCCCCTCTTGTCCCATCCCCCACGTAGTTATGGGGTCCTGGTGTCCCCCCACAGTGTCCCCAAATGTCCCCAAGTGTCCCCAACCCCCCCTTTGGGGACATCCCTGGTGTCCCCAAGGCCCTTCAGGTTGAGGTGGCCCTTGGTCTTGAGATGGTTCCATCTCAACGATGTCCCTTTGTCCCATCCCCCACGTAGTTATGGGGTCTTGGTGTCCCCCCCATGTCCCCAAATGTCCCCAAATCCCCCTTTGGAGATATTGGGGACATCCCTGGTGTCCCCAAGGCCCTTCAGGTTGAGGTGGCCCTTGGTCTTGAGGTGGTTCCACCTCAACAACATCTTCTTCTCTCGCTCTCCTTGTGTCTTTCACGTAATTATGGGGTCCTGGTGTCCCCCCACCATGTCCCCAAATGTCCCCAAGTGTCCCCAAACCCCCCTTTGGAGACATTGGGGACATCCCCGTTGTCCCCAAAGCCCTTTGGGTTGAGGTGGCCCTTGGTCTTCAGATGGTTCCACCTCAAAGGTGTTCTTCTGGGTTGGTGGTTTCCCCCTCTTGTCCCATCCCCCACGTAGTTATGGGGTCCTGGTGTCCCCCCACAGTAGTTCTTACCTTCTCTTCCCCTTGGGGGGCCCTCTCACGAAGCACCAATCCACGCTGATGGGCTGCCCCATCAGCTCCTGCCCGTTCAGCCCCTCCATGGCCGCCTGCGCTTCTTTGTAGGTTTCATACTCAACCAGAGTATATCCCTGAGGAGGAAGAGGAGGGAGCATCACCCATGGTCGATCCTGGTGGGGGGAGACCCCAGGAGGGGCCAGAGACGGGACAAATCCCTCCCCGAGCTCTGTTTGACCCCAACCTCCACGGAGAAGGGGAAGCACAAGAGTGTTTTGAACCAACTGGTGCCCACAGGGGGAAACCACCAACCCAGAAGAACCTGGTGTCCCCCCACCATATCCCCAAATGTCCCCAAGTGTCCCCAACCCCCCCTTTGGAGACACTGGGGACATCCCTGGTGTCCCCAAGGCCCTTCAGGTTGAGGTGGCCCTTGGTCTTGAGATGGTTCCATCTCAACGATGTCCCTTTGTCCCATCCCCCACGTAGTTATGGGGTCTTGGTGTCCCCCCCATGTCCCCAAATGTCCCCAATGTCCCAAATGTCCCCAACCCCACCTTTGGGGACATCCCCGGTGTCCCCAAGGCCTTTCAGGTTGAGGTGGCCCTTGGTCTTGAGATGGTTCCATCTCAACGATGTCCCTTTGTCCCATCCCCCACGTAGTTATGGGGTCTTGGTGTCCCCCCCATGTCCCCAAATGTCCCCAAATCCCCCTTTGGAGATATTGGGGACATCCCTGGTGTCCCCAAGGCCCTTCAGGTTGAGGTGGCCCTTGGTCTTGAGATGGTTCCATCTCAACGATGTCCCTTTGTCCCATCCCCCACGTAGTTATGGGGTCTTGGTGTCCCCCCCATGTCCCCAAATGTCCCCAACCCCCACTTTGGAGACACTGGGGACATCCCCGTTGTCCCCAAAGCCCTTTGGGTTGAGGTGGCCCTTGGTCTTCAGATGGTTCCACCTCAAAGGTGTTCTTCTGGGTGTTCCCCCCTTTGCCACCCAAAGCCACCCCGAGGCTCCTCTGGGTGGGACCTTCCTACCTTCAGGTAGCCCGTCCTCCTGTCGAGGTTGAGGTGGATGTTTTTGATCTCGCCGTACTCGGCGAATTTGTCGTGGATGTCTTCTTCTGTCGCCTCCTCGTGGACCCCAGTGACGAAGAGGATCCAGCCCTCCACCGCTGCGGTGCGAGAGGGACAAGAGTGACCCTAAGCACAGGGTTTGGGGGGGGTCTCAGGGGTGTGTCCCCCCCCAAAAAAAGCTGCGCTGAAGCACAGAGCGAGTCGTAGAGGGGGGGGAAG